TCACTTGTTTACATTCCACTCGTCAAAATGTGTACCCTTTTGTGGCAAATCTAGTGTGGCCTCATCACACTTGCTATTCACCGCGACCACCTCCCTTTCGATCTGCTAATCCGACTCCAGTCTTCTATTTGGATCTCTCTCATGGTCCCGTTAGTTGACCGATTTCACTCGGTTCCAGTCCCAGTCTGCGTTTTACCCCAGGCTTTAGAATCATGTAAACTGTCACCTCAACGAGCAGAGCGCCTAGGCTCTGATTCTCATGCTAGCAGATATCAGGCATTGCGTTCACGGGGCGTATCCTTGATTAACCCCATGTAACCTGAACTAACTGTGGACTCCTATCTCTGGTCGCATGCTGAATCGCAAATGGATTTCCAGTACATTTTGGCCATAACGTCGAATTTCTGTCATGGTTTGCTTATCCGTCTGCCTAGCGCCCTGACAACCAGGCCACCAAAGTTGTACTGGCTTATTCGAAACGGACATCATCCACTGACAACATCTTCTCTTGGTTGCCGAAAGTCCCCGCCCCCCACTTTCCTCATCGCGATCTCTTTTCTTTGGGTTAGCGAAAGATCCCTGATCCATTCGCGTCATTTTTGCTGGTCTTGCTCTATTCTTGTTTTCCCCGAGTTTGCTTAAGCGGTAGGTAAAGTTATCGCTAAGTCTACATTCCTCCAATCTCCTGTTCATTAGAATTTTCTCACAATTACAGGCTAAAGATGGGAGTAATGAAGAGCATGACCATCCGAAGCCTACGTTTAACAGATGTAGAATTCTGGGACCAGGAGTTGGACAAATTGACAAGGATATTCCTCGGCACTAGCTGCCTAAGTGAAGTAATACAAAGAAACATACGGGCCGTGAAAAGCCGATGGCAGAACGGGGACTATAAAAGGACAGTAAGGACGACGAAGGATTCACAAAAGTGGATATGCCTACCTTCCTGCGAACTAACTAAAAAACTACGGCCATTAACTAGGAAATTTAATATTCGGGTGGCTCATAAAGAAAATTCAACATTTCACAATTCTACTGATATAACATGAAAGGGTAGACAAATTGGATTGTTCAGGAGTTTAGTGTATATTGTACGGTGAGTGCAAACAGAAATATGTTGGCGAAACAGGAACAATAATTAACATACGAATCAAGGAACATCAAAGGCTCTGCAGGAAAATGGATATCGGATGATCAAAATTAGCGGAACACATCGCAAGGACTGGATCCGAGATCAATTGGAAAGCAACAGAAAGAAGGGCCCCGTACAGAATTATGGCCAAAATGTACTGAAAATCCACTTGAGATGCCGCATGCGATTGGAAATAGGTATCCACAGTTTGCTCACGTTACACGGATTTAATCAAGGAGACGACCTGTGAAGGCAATGCCTGAGATTTGCAAGCATGGGTTTCAGAGCCTAGACGCTCTGTTCGGTGAGGCGATAGTGCACGTGTTTCTAGGGCCTTGAGAAATAGCGCCTGGAGGGAAACGCCCACTGGGACTGGAAGCAACCATAAAGATAAGCAACGGATCTACGGGACCATGAGGGGGGATCAGGATTGGAGGCGCTAGTGAGATTAGCCGATCGAAAGGGGTAGGGGTCGGGGTGAATAGCGGGTGTGATGAGGCCACACTAGATTTGCCACAAAAGGTCACATATTTTGACGATTGGAATGTAAACAAATGAGAAGTTGTGATATGGTCGCAGTGGGATAAGAGGGTAAAGAGTAGATAGATAGACCAGAACAGAAAGAGGAGTCCTAGTGCAACCGTTTTCGGCAGAACGTTTGTCAAGGGATTGACTTCACTTGTCTCTTTGACGAGTTTGTAGCTTTGTGCGGAGGATGGCAGCACTCACTGATGATGCCGACTACGATGCCGGCGAAACGTTTGAAAATGTACCAAGTCCACTTTCTGATGCTGGGAATCATGACAATGCTCTATGGTAGACAACTTCAGACTAGGTGTGTTATACTAAGTCGCCCTGACAACAAGACCATGTTGCGACAACTAGGTCAACCAACTTCTATAAATCGAAAAAAGACTGCGACCATATCGTGGGCCACACTATCTTGGTCTTCCTATCTTCCCTTATTTACAGTCTCGTAATAATCTTGAATTCCTGCTCATTATAAATACATGTAATTTCCTTAATAAAGACCAAAACGTTTTTATCTCTTTCCTGATCTCAGTCCATTTTCGACGTATATAAGTGGTTAGAACTCTTTTCCTAAACTTGGTACTGATGTCAGGTAGACTCAGATAAACGCACTCTGTCCACATTTCTCTGCAATGTTAACCATGCTAATTTACAGCTTCAGACATTGAAAGCTGTACATCCAAGGACGTTTCGCAGACATCATAAACCAGTCTAGCTATTTTCAGCGGAGACAAGAAATATGGCC